GTTATATTGTGTTTTCTCAGGATAATTATGTAACTCCCAGTTCCCTTTCCTCGGCTTGGCTGGCTTTTCTCTCAGTTCTAAGGGTCCTCTCTGAGGCTCAGAGGCTGCAGGGGCTCCCTCTCTGCTCTAAGTTCTCTCACTTGAGCAGAAGCTCCTACCTGTGGCAAGAACCCAGAGGGCCTCTTGGAGGTGGCGGGGAAGTGCTGAGCTTCATCAGGGCAGCCACTGCCCTGACCAGTTTGGGGGATGGGGAGGTGCTGTGGGTCAAGCCCCATTCCTGCAGCTGTGCGCATCCACAGCCAGAGTCTCGTCCATCACAGTCAGAGGGCTAGAGATAGAATCTAGAAGATTCTAGAGAAGAATAAGAGACTGTACTGAGGCTGATGGGGGCGTCTCCCAGGCACAGCTAAGATGCTGGGAGTCCAGACCTGCTACACCTTGCAGAGGGACCCGCATGGAGGAAGATCAGAAGTCTAAGGTTGTATCACATCTTTCCTGCTCCAGGGGTGGACTGCGGGTGAAATGTCCCTGGTTGTTGTGGTTGACCCACATGTATTGAGAAGATTGCTGGCAGGGAATGTGGATAGAGGAATGGTCAAGAAAACAGGCATCGGAGTAACTGGAACATAGATTTCAGAGTTAGAATCTTGATTCTGTCACAGTATTGTGTGTGGACAAATACTTGACTCCTTTGAACCCCAGGGTCTTTGTCTTTAAAATAGTGACACTGCCTCTGTCTGGGTTATTGAGAGGATAAAATGAGAAGAGGATGAAATGAGAAGATTGCCAAGGGCTAAGAGCTGGAAGCTTTAACCATGAATATGGTCAGTGGGACCAGGCAGCTGTGCTGGGTGCAAGAAGGTTTGCCAGGTCCTAAGATCCTTGCTAACAAACACGGTTTAGAACTTTCTCTCCTGGGAGCTGGTTGCCCTCATGGATGGAAATGATATTGCAAAATAAAACCCAGAAGTTGTCCAAGGTAGCATGACCTACCCCACAGAAAGCTCAACCAACAGCGTTTTGTCTTCCTTTCTCGTGTCCTGTACCATACAATATCTGCCTTCATCATGGAGCAAAAGTGATGCATTGTGGTCTAATAAAATGTCCACCATGGTACTAAGAGAAAACCTTGAAAATAAATACTTCCAGAACCCGAATGCCATATTCTACTCACAAGGAGAAAGCATCAGTCATGTCTTATTTTGCCCATTTCACTTACTGATAGTTTTATGGATCCAAATTTTAAAAAAACCCTTCTTTGGCTGTCAGCCAGACCCCTCATCCTCCCAGAGGGTACTCCTGAGAGAATTCCCGAGATATATACTGGCTAGAGCCCAGGCTGGACAATTCCTCAGTACCAAACAACTTCATTTCCCTGGCCCAGGGACATGAGATTTGAAGTTTATACTTTTCTCTTTTCCATTCCAGCCATCTTTTCCCCCATGTCTTTTCAGCCACCTCAGGAACGTCCTGCTTAGAAACTTTGCTGTTTGCACACACGTGCAGAGGGCCAGCTCCCTCATCTCCCAGGTTTTGCTCATATCCGATTTCTTAGTGAGGCCTGCCCTGACAGGCCATTCAACAATGAGTGTCTCTTCCTCCTGCTCAAATGTAAAGTCCATGAGGGCAGGGGGCTTAGTCTGTCCTGTTCCCTGATGACTCTCTAAGTGCCTGGCATTGTGCCTAGCACATAGTAAATGCTCAGTAAGTGTTTGTAAAGTGAGTAAAAGGCAAATAGCCAGTTTTAGAAGACCAAAGAATTTTAGGGATGGAAGAGACCTTAGAAATTATTTGATCCAGAGGTAAGAATTTTTCTTTTTCAGTCGGGTCAAGTGAAGAAAAATAAAAAAAGATTTATTGCCAAATTTTTTTTATATTCAAAATTAAATCCCATGGAAGAATAATCTATGTTCTTAAATCTTAGCCACTTACTCTATGACATAAAAGAATGTTCACGAGAAATTGTGACTAGAGTTGGGAAATAGCAAACCGAGGCAGGTTTCTCATCTGCCTCCCGGAAACGAAATCTGGATCTGATCGTGAGCACGGGCAGCCCTCGGGATTCCGCTGCTCATCTTCACTGAAAACGCCACCCTGTTTTATGGAAGAGGCAGAGACTGCCCACAAAGAAAAGACATCTTTTTTCTCAAGGTCCCAAAGCTGATTAGGGGCGGATTCAAGAGTGGACCAGAGAGGTCTTGGCCTCCACACAGTGCTCCTTCCACCAGCAGAAAAAAAAAAAAAAAAAAAAAAAAGAAGGAAAAGGAAAAAGAGTTTGGTGCTTTCCATCAATTCAAGCTTCAACGAGCACTGGCTGACACCGTCATTGTGAATCAACGAATACATGGGGCAATCAGAATTATTTACCGCTTTTAATATAATGTCACCATAATTGTCCTATAAATGATTGCAAGCATTCCGCCTCCCCCTGCTCCATGGATTAATAATATGACCTAACATTTAACAAGCACTAATAACGTGTGGGTGACATTCCAACTGCCTGAGGCTGAGCGGAGCCCTTTAAGCACTGGGTCCTGCCAGTCCTTTATTGTGCGTGTCTCTAGACAAACCTTCTTCATCCCTGTGGGGTACATATTGCCTCTTTTCTTGTTGGATTTTTACTTTTTTCAGTTGTGGTTAGTATTTGTTTTTTTGTATTTCCTATAAATATTCCCATATAGATTTATAAGGCAGAACCTCTGTGAAAATGCAATATATATTCAGGCAGCTTAATGAGTTGATAATGACTTTTGCTTGTGTAAGTACCCTGTTTGCATATCAATAAATGCGTTGCAGCTCAATGAGTAGTATGACTTGAAGGATGAAGCAATTTTTAAAAAATTGTTGTTTTTCCATTTATTTTATTGCATTTAATCGGTCAGTTCGAAGTATCTGCGCTGAAGATTGAAATGCCGGAATGCCTTTTTGCTTTTCCAGTTAAACAGCTACCTAGGAGTTTGCTGCACTAAGCAGACTTGTAAACATTCAGCAGTTTCCCACGACTCTCCATTAAGTCTATCAGCTATGTTTCCACAGGAACTGATATTCAGTGCACCATGATAGGCTACTGCTTGTAGGGTTATCAGAAAACATAAGGTTATACAATCCTTGCCTTTTGAGAGTTCGGAGCCTGCTCTGGGAGATCACAGGGGAAAGGTCAAAAACAAAACAAAACAAAAATAATTAACTATCTCAGGTGGCACATAGAAATTCTAGATATATGGCTTAGAACATAAGAGAGATGTTTGGGGGAAGATCAAGATAGAAATGAATTTTGGGACTAGAAAATCTTCATTATGCTTTTGCTTTGACTTATAGACTATTTCTCCCCCTTTGTCTTAATTTTAGTCTCTCTGGAATCCAAGAAATGGCAAAAATTTCCCTGGATTTCTTTTCAAATTTATTACAGTCCTCCAGGAATTTGTTCTGTCATCTCCCAGGATGTAGGTCAGCAGCCCAGGCTAAAGAAATCCACTTGGGTTCATATTGGAATTTGACAGATCAGAAGAATGACTTCTATTTTCCATTTATCATGTGTAGAGGCAGGGAGGAAAAAGTCTCCCTTTCTTCCTCAGATGGCAAGGTTAGCTGATATATCCATGTAAAATAATTATTTCTATGTATACCACATTCATTTTCCTTCACTTAGAAAAAAGTCACTGATCCAAGTATTGTATTTTTAAACCTTAAAAAAAATTCTTTTGTCTTGTTTGGTTTCATTTTCCCTAAATTATTGGCCTTATTGTCTCATAAATAAATAGAAGTATGGCAGCATGAAAAGAGGGGCCGAAATGCTGTGGTTGGAGTATTTGTGGTGTGTTAATTCAGTTGGCTAAGGATCAGGGAAACTCTTAATTGTGAATAGATTGTAATAAAAATCTGTGAGTTTAAAATTTTTATCATCTTCATTGTTAAAGATAATATAAAAAATGAAAATCCAGTATTTAGATCTTTCTCTTCTCATTGACTCCTTTCATTTGTTTGATAACTCTTCTTCTCCGGTCATAATGTATATTTTAGGATCAAAGTTATTTTTATTTTATTTTTTAAAGATTTTATTTATTTATTTGAGAGAGAGAGAGAGAGAGAGAGAGAGCATGAGCAGGGTGAGAGGCAGAAGGAGAAGCAGATTCTCCACTGAGCAGGGAGCCCGATGCAGGGCTCAATCCCAGGGACTCTGGGATTAGGACCTGAGCCAAAGGCAGATGCTTAAGTGACTGAGTCACCCAGATTCCCCATGATCAGAATTATTTTAAAGCTACAGTGGGTCCAAGAGAGCTTCTAATCTAACCTTTTCATTTGGCAATGGAAGAACCAAAGCCAAGAGACATGGGACTGACTGACTGACTGAGGTCATACAGAGATGAAATCCCAAGTGCCCTAAAACATTCATTCATTCATTCATTGTTCATGCATTCATTGTTGCTTCGACCAAATCCTCCTTCCGACATACAAAATAGAAAACAACTCAATTGAATATGCGTTGCTTCTGTGATCCCACCTTTACCAACTGGAATTTGAGGGTCTTTGGACATTGTATATGTATCAATAATATGTTATATCTCAAAGACTGTCTCTGGATGAGTTCCAGGTATGGCACTGTAAGCAGCAGAAACAAAATTTTCTGATGATTCATTTAATATACTTAAAATTTTCTGAGTTTTTATAATGAAATGTTCATAGATTTATTTGGTGTATTTTGAAAGTCATCATTAACTCTATCTAATCTTTCCATGTCATTCATTGCCTGCGTTGTATGATTCATAATCTATAGGAATCTATAGAAGTTACCTAAAGAGAAGGCTATAAAACTGGCTTGTTTTGTCAAAAAGAAAGGAATAGCATAGAGAAGGTCATCTTCTGAAGTTGCTTATGCTGTCTCTTCTAAAAGCAGAGAACCAGTTTAGATGAACTCAAAGATCTTAGTCAGGCACTTTAATCTCTAGCCGAATCATTAAACGTAGTAAACAGTTAAAACTGGTTGTAATTTTCAGACTTACTTGTCAACATACTGAACTAGATCTGTAGAATTCTTGGTTGACATCGTGGCAGGAGAAAATCTTACCTGAAACAAAGGTCATGGGTTTAAAATGTACCATCATCTACTTTATAGGTAGGTCTTATCCATCTTACTTTTATATAAATATTTTAACTTTAAACAAAATATACACTATAGACCGTCACCCAGTTAAACTTGCACATGCTCTGTCTAGTATTTCTAGAGACTAAAACAAAAATCAAGTTCTAGAAAGATACTAGAGGGCCTCTTTTTGTATGTTGGTATCACAGTCAGGAGAAACTTTTTGGACGAGTCAAAACCATGGACTATTCTTAGAAAAATTTTTAATGAAATATCCAATGATTATTGAGTGAGTTACTAAATAAGTTCTCACAGAGTGAATTTACTCCAACAAGCTAATTTCTGAGGGGAATCACTAGTTTTCAAAAACGAAGTCCAAAACTAGAAATCTAGTCTATTCAGATAATTTTGTTTTCTAAGAAACCTGGATGTCAGTTAATTACCGTCAATGAGAAATGAAAGCAGAAGAGAGTTTTGTACATAACTTACTAGTATTGAACATAGTTGGCCAAACGAACTCTTAACTAATTTGATAACTACTAACAAGTTCCCCTTGTACCAAAGTTTATAATCTGGCAGCATTTCTAGGAGGAATGAGACTGCCCAATCACTCACTGTTTGACATATGCTAAAACTGTTCTAAATGCTAATGTTCTTCATTTTTAAGATCAAAAACAGGACATAGATTTATGCTTATTTTAATAGCCCATCACTGAACTGGATTCAATCAGGAGAGTATGAGTGGTATTGTGCCTCGGTTTAAAACTTAAACAAAATCGTTTCCTGGGGTATTTTTCTTAGTTTACGTTATTGTACACCACCATGGTGACAGAGTAGATAAGACCCACAAATAGAAATCACTCCTTTTGCAAAACTACCATGTCTTACTTCTTAATTTAGCACCCAAGAGACTTAATTGGAAAGCTCTCTCCTCCACTAAAGCTTAAAGAAAAAAAAAAAAAAAGTAAGTCTATTATCAAGGAAGCTAATAAAAACCCCTGACAATTGTTAGCCTCTCCTGACCCTGCCCTCTTGGCGGTGGACAACTGGCATGGTTCGAGGCTGCTCAAAATGGAGCCAGTGACCACCATAATCATGCCTTAGGCCCTCTCTCCCCATTGCTGAGTAGGCTTTGAGGCTCCAAAGCCAGGTGTTCCCCTAGAGGATGGATACACTGATCCCTGGGCACCCAGGGGTCCCATGTGAGGGAAACCATCCTAAATACCTACAGAACATGACTGGCCTTCTGCCCTGCTTTGTGTTTGACTCCAGTTTCAAGCTGGAACAGAGCTGGGCCCTGGGCTCGTGGCCTACTCGGTACCTGCTCTTCCTTCTCACCTCTCCACGGTGACTCTGAACTGGTGTGGCTGTGGTATTCGATCAGCACTGGCTGCTCCCTGGCCTTCCATGTCTGACACCTAGGAGCCCTTTCATTCCCTTCTGTGGCATGAAAGGCTCTGTGAATACTGAGTCCAAGGACACCAAATTACTGGGTGATTGTCTCCTCTCCCCTTCTCAAGCGGAACTGTTGGATATATATCTTTTACTTTAATGGTACTTTTAAGCCTTATTTTGAAGACTGCAAATAGCATCCTCTTAAAAACACAGCTACAATTCACCTACTTTTAAAGTAGCACATGTTAAACCTGAAAACAGAGGGAAATTTGGAAAAATATAGAAAAGTGAAAGGTACAGAAAAAAGAAATTCTCATTGTAATTGTACTGGCTATACAGAGAAAAAACTGTTAACATTGCAGCCTGTTCATCTCCTTTTCTATGCAATTTTTGATGTATCTAAGATAGTATGTAAGTTTTTATATCTTTGCTAATTGCTTATAGGAGACAGCTCTGTTTCATCTCTGTTCCTACAAGCTAGAAAGTAATTATCTAACAATTCCCACAAACAACTTGGTGGCTGCTCACGGACTTTTTACATGTATCAATTTTCACCTGTGTTCCAACAATACCTTAAAATGCTGTGTTCCTTTATGGCTTGGTTAAGGCCTATAAAATACTTTCACATATAGGATGTCCTATAAGGTGGGAATCATTGTCTTTACTGAAATCCTACCATATTGCAGAAAAAATTTAAGGTGATTATTTTTATAGGCGAGGAAATCTGAGGATTAGAGAAATAGCAGACTTACTCAAGATCATATACATGATGATAATAATCATCATTATAGCAACTGACCGAGGCCCTCTTACTTGCTAAACCCTTTTTATCTTAGTGGTTCATTCAAACCTCACATCTTTGGATGATAGGCCTAATTAGCCCATTTTATAGAGGAGAAAACAGAGAGGTTAAGTAATTGCTGAAAGTCACACAGCCAGCCAGTGGGTGCTACAGCCAACAATACACAAAAACCAGTGCTAGATACTGGGCTCGCTTTCCAGTGCTCTTTCCATCACCACAGGCTGCATCCCCTGGTGAGATCTAAAAATACTGCTTCTTCGAATGTTCTTTTTCATTAATGACAAGTACCAATAAGAGAAACTTATTTAGCTGTTCTCTTTTTCATGGTAGAGATGAAGTCTGTATCTTGAATTTTTCATAGTTTCTTTTCAATCTTTATAAATAATAATTATCAAAAAATTTCTCCTATTTAGCTCTGCATATTAAAAGTCAGTCCAATGAAAGTATTCACATATCAAGACCCCTTTTCCTTTCAGCTTGTGTGGTCACCAGCGACTTTGTCAAAGCAAAACAAACAAGAAATGTAGGTAGAATGAGAAGAAAAACAACTCTTCTAGGACTCCTTAGAACTCTCTGAACAACACTAAACTTTAAAGAAGCTGAACAAAATATTCTATTTTTACTATGAATATCTAAAAGTACTTGCTTTCTTTTCTTGGTCATTGACTGAGCCAGGAAGGGGGCCATCAGTTTCCTTCGGCTGTTCCTCTGCAGTCTGGGAGGCACTTTTGTTTACATCTGTATCTAGGCAACCAGAATGCTGAATCAGATCAGGAACTAAGGCAAGTGAATTTTTGCCCTGGTGGTTAAATTTTTTTTTTTTTTTTTTTTAATTAAGGGCAGTTTCTGTACATACAGTGAAGGTTAAAGGAGGCTTCTCATTTATTTTACACTCCCCTCTTCTGTCCTCCCCTACTTCAAAGCTTCACCAAACCCCCATCACACCCATCATCAGCTAGAAGAGTTTATCGTCCCAGATACTTCCATTAGATGCTTAGGAAATTTTGTTGAGATGCAGCCACTTAGATCAAACTGTTATAAAATAATGGGAAATGATTTCTCACTCTATTGTGCCCAAGCCATCCACGGCTCTCCTTTGGGATTTATTACCTTGTTTATATGTAGTAAGAAATGTAAGTAAGGTTGTCAAGGATGAGAATTTAGAGACTTTGAAAAATCCATGCGATAAATACCTGAGCTCATGATGCTTGATTTCCTGGCTTTATTTTTTGTTGATTTGACTTTTTTGAAAGGGAGCAGAGATTTTTTTAAATTTTCTTTTTCAGAAAGCCAAAGCTCTAAGGAAACCTGGTTGCAATCTGACCAAAGTCTTTATGTTTCTGGGGCATCTTCCCAGGGTGGCTCAGTAGCATTGTGACTACAGGAAAGATCTGTGACGTCAGTGGGGTTGGCCTTCACACTTAAGTCTGGGATTTCAGAACTTCAAAGGTTTTTCTTAATACTCACTGTTGTAAGATCATTAGGTTCTTCGTCTCGTGGTCCCATTGGGTGGGGGTGGGGTGGGTGGTTAGGCTGACATTTCACACCCTTCCCCTGATTACACCTTCACATTTGATAGGAGACCAGTTTCCATCAAATTAGACAAAGAGAATGAACTTTTAGGGAACTCCCCTATCTTCCTCCCAAGTGTGCCCAGTCAGGAAGCTAACTCTGTGGGCCACTAGGGGGAGTCTCATAGAGAACGTGGCAATAATCATTGGTGTAGTGGGCCTGGGCTTTAAATGAATTGAAATATTGAACTTTGGCTTTGTAGAGAAATTTTTGTTCGGTTATTCAGTCAAAGAGAATTTGATTGTTTCAGCTCTGAAATATCTTCCTGCGTTCTAAAATTGGAATCTACAGATTTTGGTAATACTATCTGGCCCTCTTGTACAGAAATTATATTATTGGTTGAGTTATTTTGCCTTGCTCTGGGGACGCGTAACGTTCCGGATGCCAAATGACAAACTTAGATCCCACAGATTAAAAACCTCCATGATTTTTGGCTTCAACAGTATGTCTTCTAGTGCTAAGCTGAGCTCTTAAACTTAGAAATACAGTATTTCATGGTTTGTAAGCTGTCCAAAAGGCTCATTACACCATCCTGGTCATCATTTTATCAAGCACCAAGGGGGACTGGCACACCATGCCTGACAGGAAGTGGCCACAGATACTGAACCCTGACTCTTCTACCAACTGGCTCTTTGCTTTGGGCAAAATCACCTCACTTCTTCAAGACTCCGTTTTCTCATCTGTAAATTGAGCTAATAATATTGATTTCCTAAGGTGGTTGAGAGGATTAAATGCAATGATACACTTCAATTGTCAGCTGAGTGCCAGGGTGGGAGTCCACTAAAAGGTAGCTATTATTAGTGATTTTTCACAAGGTGGCAATTATCCAAGAAGTAGATACAGGGTCTGTGTGAGAAAGGAAAACTGGCTTTGACCTTGCTAAGAAACTCTTTTTTTTTTTCTCTCTCTCTCTCTCTCCTTGGTTCTTTCTTTCCTTAAATTCAGCTGCTGGTCCATAGCATTTGGCTAGAAAAATGGACTTCAGTGAAATGAGAATCTAACTTGTTTGTTCTCTAAATGGTTGCTTGAACAGTGCACACAATATATTTGTACCATTGGATTCCCAACTGCTGAATGCATGTGTCAAATCCTTCCTGGAAGTCAAAAATCTACCAAGACCTCTTCTAATCCAGGCCCACCAAGAATAGAGCCTAAAGCACAAAGTCCTATAATGTTCATTTTTTAATCTTGAAAATTTACAAATGACATTATATTCTGATATTACTTTAAATATAGGCATGAGGAAATAATCTTGTGGCGGTGGTCAGCGAAGGGTTTGGTGAGTGTTGAGGGTCAGCTGAGACAACTGCTGTGTTGTGCACTCCACAACCCTAGCGGACACCTTTCACACAAAAACATTGTAGATTTCCATGTTTGTTATAAGTTTTCAAGTGTATGTCAAGAAAATATTCTAATAAGCCAAGTATATTAGGACTTTTCTGATATGTGGAAGTAAAGGTTCTTGAGGAAGGGGTACCTATTTCTTTTTTTTTTTTTTTAAGATTTTATTTATTTTTTGAGAGAAAAAAAAGAAAGCACACCCAAGAGAGAAGAGGGTTTGGAGGGGAGTAGAGGGAGAGGGACAAGCAGACTCCGAGCTCAGCTCAGTATGGAGCCAAACTTGGGGCTCAGACTCATGACTTCGAGCTCATGACCTAAGCCAAAATCCAGAGTTGGCCACCTAACTGACTGACCCACACAGGCAAGGGGGCGCCCATTTCTAACTCACCACAAGAAGTGTACATGGACCAGAGGCAGCCCTGATCCTGGGTGTCTGTGGAGTGCCATGTCCTCAGCTAACTAGCTTCAACCAGCCCTAGGCCACAGCAACCAGTAGTCATTGGCAGAGTGTATCCTGTTCAATTTCCTTTTCCTGGGGCACCTGGGTGGCTCAGTGAGTTAAGCCTCTGCCTTTGGCTTAGGTCATGATCTCGGGGTCCTGGGATTGAGCCCCGCATCGGGCTCTCTGCTCAGTGGGGAGCCTGTTTACCCCTCTCTCTGCCTGCCTTTCTGCCTACTTGTGATCTCTCTCTGTCTGTCAAATAAATAAATAAAATCTTTAAAAAAAAAAAAAAAAGAAAGAAAAAGTATTCAACTTCCTTTTCCTGTATGTTACCTCCAACCTGTTCTCCAGAGTGCCCTTAGGCCATCCTTCCTGGAAAGACCTCTTTTGAACCTGAGGACTTTTCCTCGTGCTATTCCAGTTTTACCTGCTTTGGTCTTCTAGCAATCTCTGATGTGTTTAACACTTTACATTTTAGAAGATGTTCCTCAAGTTCTAGCTCATGATTCTTCTAAGGAAGACAGTGCAAACACAGCATCCCAGTTTTACATATTAAAAACACAAGAAGGTTTAGAGAGATGAAGTGACGCACATGAGTGAATGGTGAAAGCCTGACTGACTAGTCCCCAGGTCCGCTAACCCTTAGCCTTGTGTACCAGCCCTCCTGGCATAACCGTTCTGGATTCTGTTGAGGTGTCGGTGTTTGTCTTCCACTCTGAAGGAGCGCTCGACTCTCTCTGGCAATCACATTACATTTCCTTACCACAGGACTCTCCTACTCTTCTAGATGACTCTCCTACTCTCCCTCACCCCTCAAACTGCCAGCAGCTACCCCATCCCCACTTTCAGCTCATGACTTTTCCTTTCCATTTAACCAAGAAAGCAGAAATGATCAGAAGAGAATTTTGATGTGTACACATGCTATGTCTGTAAACCTACGGGCATCTCTGTCCCTAAATTTTGTCTCTGGTCCTGTTTCAGTGAATGAACTATCTGTGCTCCTTGTTTAGGCCCAACCCCTAGCTGGCCATAGGTCCCACTCCCTCTCAACTATTCAAGGACTTCTCTTTCTTCCTATCTAGATCATTCTCATCAGCACACAAACATGCTTTATTTTTCCTTCTACCCATTTTAAAACAAACAACCTTCTTTTGATCCTATATATCCCTTTAACTGCTACTCCTCCCCCTTTTCGACAAAGAAAAACTCCCTCAAAGTGTTATTTTTATTTTTATCTTTCTAATTTCTCTGTTTGCTATGGTCTAAATTGTACTCCCCCCATATGTTAATGCCCTAACCCTGAATGTGACTATATTTGGAGATAAGGTGTTTTAGGAGGTAATTAAGGTTAAATGAAATCAGAGGGTGAGGTCCTAACCTGATAGGATTGATGGCCTCAGAGAAAGGGATCTCAACCTCTCTCTGTCTCCACACACATACACACACACACACACACACACACACACACACACACGCACACACTGAGGTAAGTGAGGACAACAGGAGAAGCCAGGTGGAGGATCCTCACCAGGAACCGGATCTGTCAGCACTTTGATCTTGGACTTAGCAGCTTCCAGAACTGTGAGAAATTAATTTCTGTCATTTATACTGCACAGACTATGGTATTTTGTTAGGGCCGCCTGGTCAGACTAAGATGCTCTTGAAACACTGGAATCTGGCTTTCTGTCCCAGGCACCTTCCTCTAAAACTGCCCTTGTCAGAGTCCCCTGCGACTTCTCTGTTGTATGTCCAGGGTCAGCTCTCTGTCTCTGTCTCTCTGTCTTCCTGCCACTTGCCCCATCATGCAGCAGCATTTGACAGAGTTGAGGGCTGTCTTTTCCCTGAAGCTTGTTCCTTACTTGGCTCTCAGGGCAACACATCTCCCGGGACTCTGTTCTTCCTTCTCATGGGTTTCTCATTCATCTCCCTCACCTCTGAATAGTGGGTCAATGGTTTCAGTATTCTCAGAGCTTTCCTAAAGGTCCCACGTCCTGGGAATCAGCCTGGGGCAAACCAGGAAAGCTGGTCACCCTACTGGTGAGTATTGTGGCCCAGAGCTCTGTCCTTGCACTTGGACACTCATCACCTTGATGAGCTCACCTAATCTCATGCTGTAAGCTGGTGATCCCGCAGGTCCCCCTTCCCCCGGAGCTGCTGCCCATGTAGCCTTCCCTACCACATAAATGGCAACATCTCTTTTCCAGTTGCTCAGATCCCAGATCTTGGAATTCCATGTTTCTCTTTTTCTTTCAAACCCAATGTTTGCCCCACCTTAAAAAAATATATCCAGAATGGGTCACTTCTCATTCCTTCTGTGCTGCCCCATGGGTCCAAATAACCATTGTTTTTCCCTAAGGCTATCACAAAGCTTTCTAAAACCAACCTCCATTCTGCCAAACTTGCCACCCATAAAGTATTCTCAAAAAAATACCCAGGGGTGTTGTCAAAGAGTGATCATGAAACTCGTCTGCTCAAAATCCTTCAATAGTTTTCCATCTTATAAAAGATGAACCCTTTGTAATATCTACAGAATCTTTTTGAGATGTATGTGATAGGGTCCTCCTATAGCCATCTGACCTCATCTCCTACATCTCTTTTCCTTGGTTACTCTCCTTCAGCCACAGAGGCTGCCTTGGTGCACTCCTCCATCATGCTGGCAGGCTCTTGTTTCTGTGCTTTTCATCTCACCGTTGCCTCTGCTTAAAGTACCTGTGAAAAGTGCTGGCGGTATTTTGATAGAGGTTGAATTAAATGTGTAGATTGCTTGGAGTACTATAGACAATTAAACAATGTTTGTTCTTCCAATCCATGAACATGGGATGTCCTTCCATTTCTCTATGCAATCTTCAATTTCCTTCATCAGCTTTTTCTGATTTTTAGAGCACAGGTCTTTCACCTCTGGTTAGATTTATTCCTAGGTATCTTATGGTTTTTGGTGCATTTGTAAATGGGATTGATTCCTTGACTTCTCTTTGTGCTGCTTCATTAGTGATG